CTTGGAATTGGAAAGGAACTGATTAAATCAGAAATACAAGTAAAACATAACATCATAAATATAGTACTAATGAATACAAACTCTGCTCTGGGATTTTTAGCCCAATTGCCTAGGTAAAGGAATATGAAAGGGTGGAGAAGACGCATGCTCTCCAATTGGTCGAATCACCAGCAGGGATTGCATAGCAAGCAGGGAAAACCAGAATCACGTTGGGGTAACCCAGAATAGTGGACATGCCAGTCTGACTCTGACGTTGTCCAAGTCCTTCCTGGGCCAGTAGTGTCAATGGAGTTAATACCAAGTCAATACTGACCAAGTGCAACACACCCAGAGGAAAATGGAACCTTTGAAGTCCTGTCACAGAAGGACCCAAGCAGAAATAGTATGTGGATAGAAGAGTTAAAGGAGACATTTTAAGATAGCTGTCTTCAAATATTTGCATGGTTGTGACCAAGGAGTATTTAGACTCCCTGGCAGAGCCATTGTCTGACTGAACCAGCCAACACAGGGAGGGATTAAACGGAGACTGGTTGTGATTTAAGATAAAAACCTCTTTCTGGAGCTGCCAAAAATGGGACAGGAAGACTGAATGGCACTTGACCACGGAAAGCTGGCTATCAGTTGCCCACTTGGTTCCCATCCTCTCGATGCTTTCTGAGCACACACAATATGACTTCAAAGTGAATTACAAACCCAATTTTAACTTTACACTACCTCACTAGGACATTTAGTGAGTTTTTGAACTTCTGTTAAGTAAGGAAGAATGCAGCTGCATTCCTTATTTGGACTGTGATGCAAATGTGATGTTAGGAGATGCAAAAGTCATCTTAACACCAGAGCAGGGTCCAATGGGGGAATCAGCTCCCACCTTACTGAGCAGCTAAACAAAGCTGGCAGCTGCTCTGCTCCAGATATCTTGCTGTGAGAGAAAAAAAAAAAATGTGATCCATTTAACCCAATGAAGTCAAATACTAGGTTATTTGCAACCAAACGCATTCCAAGCGAATCTAGGAAAATGGAACGATAACACTGATTCTAGGAAAGTGGTAAGATAACTCCACCTTAGGGTCCTTTCTCCTTTAAGAGACAGAGTTGATCTTAAAATGTCTATGCTGGGCCCGGCGTGGTGGTGCAAGTGGTTAAGGTCCTCGCCTTGCACGCCCGGGATCCCATATGGGCGCCGGTTCTATCCCAGCAGCCCAGCTTCCCATCCAGCTCCCTGCCTGTGGCCCGGGAAAGCAGTCAAGGACGGCCCAAAGCTTTGGGACCCTGTAGCCGCGTGGGAGACCCGGAAGAGGCTCCTGGCTTCGGATCGGCATAGCATCAGCCGTTGTGCTCATTTGGGGAGTGAATCATTGGACGGAAGATCTTCCTCTCTGTCTCTCCTCTCTGTATATCCGCCTTTCCAATAAAAAAAAAAACATGTCTATGCTTTGGGCTTCAGCATGGTAGCCTAGTGGCTGGAGTCCTTGCCTTGCATTCACTGGGATCCCATGTGGGTGCCAGTTCTAATCCCAGCAGCCCCCCCTTCCCATCCATCTTCCTGTTTGTGACCTGGGAAAGCAGTCAAGGATGACCCAAAACCTCAGGATCCTGCACCTGTGTGGGAGACCCAGCAGAGGCTTCTGACTCCTGACTTCAGATTGGCACAGCTCTGGACGTTGTGATCATTTGAGGAGTGAATCAGTAGATGGAAGATCTTCCTCTTTGTATATCTGACTTTCCAATAAAAAAATAAGTAAAATCTTAAACAAGTTTTTTTTAATTCTACGCTTACTCCAGCTGCGGGCAACTCCTAGGTTGCTTTGTACCTACCCAAGTTAACACTGCTGGAAGAAAAGCAGCCAGTAGCTGGTGGACATTCTGGACCTGGTTAATGCCAAATTTGTGTTAACCATACCAGTGTTCCAACATAGTTACTTAATTTCTTTCTTTCTTTCTTTCTTTCTTTCTTTCTTTCTTTCTTTCTTTCTTTCTTTCTTTCTTTCTTTCTTTTTTCCTTCCTTCCTTCCTTCTTTTTTTTTTTTTTCCTTCCTTCCTTCCTTCTTTTTTTTTTTTTTTACATATGTGGGGATGTGGGGAAGGGGGAACTCCTAGCTGTACATATCACTCCGGCCTCCAGGTTTGGGGGGCTGCAGATTGCCCAGGGAAGAGGACTGAGGACCTGTTGGTGTGGGAGCTGCTGAGGGTGTGCTTGACAGGGAAGACATGACTTCTAGGGTCGCTGCACTAGCAGGTAAGTGAGGGAGCTGAGATAAAGTGGTTTAGAGGAAGGAAACTAGAGGGCACGTTTGGGTCATGCCAAGGCACCCACCTATGTGGGAGACCTGGGTTGGGTTAAATGGCATCACCCACCACCTGCTGGTACTTGCAAAAGCTGGAGCTGAGGGGCCTTGACTGGGTTATGATGGAGTACCCACCTGCGAGTGTCAGACCAGGGATTGGGCCACATCAGGCTGGACTGAAGCACCCGCTAGAATATAAGAGAATTGAAGCTGGGAGTAGAAAACTTGTGGGACTGCAGCACCCACCAGTTCATGCAGAGAGCTGGGATGGTGATGGGTAGAGCTGGAGTGTACCATACAGTGTACCTGACAGAAACGCACCTGACATTCTCAGGAGCAGGGGCTAGGAGAAGGCCAGATGGGAGCAGGTTATAGCATCCACAGGGAGTACTGGCTCTGGGGGTGGGACTGGGCTGAGCTAGGCTGCAGCACCTCCTGGCAAATGCCGAGACTGGGGTCGGGCCATCTCAAACTAGGTCACAGTACCTGCTGACACATGTAAGAGCCAGGGCTGGCAGCATACCTGGTAAGGAATCTTTGGGGACTCTCTTGTGGTTCTGTTGCTTCCACTGGTTAGTGTGAGAGTTGGGCCTGGAGATGGGTTAGTCTGGGGGCAGGCCAAGCTGAGCTAGACTGCTGCACCAACTTGCAAGAGTCAGGACTGGGTACCAGTCATGTCAGGCTGTACCACAGTACTCCCTGGTAGGTGCAAGATCTAGGGATTGGGACATGTGTGGGAACTGCGGGCACTCCCTTGCCAGGCTGTATTTAGTGCTGGTAAGCACAAGAACCAGGGTTGGGGGTGGACCAGGCTGAACAAGGTGGTGGTACCTATCAGTGTTCATGAAGCCTGGGTCTTGAGGCAGGGTGAGTGAGCTAAGTTGTAGCACCCACTTGTGTGCATGGAAGCCAGATGAGATACGAGGTGGGTCAGACTAGATGCAGCAGAGGCTGTTACACACAAAAACTGGGCCTGGGAGCAGGCCTAGAGGGGGGTTGTTGGAGAGTGCCCTGAGTAAGATGTGGCACCCACTGGTACGTGTAGACAGGACGTGTGGCAGGATGGGCTGGGCCACAGCACCTCTCAGTTTGCATGAGATATGTATGGGGTTGAGGCAGAACTGACTATGCAGCTGCATCCTCCCATATGTGTGTTGGCTGGTGCAGGCAACAGACCACACCTGACCCTGAACTAGCTAGCAAACACATAAGTCTGAGGGATTCTCAACTAAACTGCTGGACTCAGACCCTGGCCACAGGGAAAAATCAAAGGATGTATATCTGACCTTAAAGTGCCTGTAACAGGAGTGGGCCTCCTCAGTTGCTAATGCCTGTGCAGTGCACAGCATGTCCCAGTGCACACAGGAGACAGGATAGCCAGCTCCTCTAGGCCAGCAGAGAATGTCAGAGGATGGAAATTGGACAGTTCTCCTGACCACGCTTTGTAGTATGTTCCTGGGTCTATGAATGCACTAAGGTACTTTGTCAAGCAATAGACCTTGGAAAGATTTTCATTTTTTAAAAGATTTATTTATTTTTATTGGAAAATCAGATGTACAAAGATGAAGGGAGATAGAGAGGAAGATCTTCTGTCCATTGATTAATTTCCCAAGTGGCTGCAACAGCTGGAGCTATGCCAATCCAAAGCAGGAACGTGGAGCCTTTGCTGGGTCTCCCAGGTGAGTGAAGGATCCCAAGGCTTTGGGCCATCCTCAATTGCTTCCCCAGGCCACAATCAGGGAGCTGGATGGGAAGCAAGGCCACCGGGATTAGAATCGGCATCTGTATGGAATCCTGGTGCATGTAAGGTGAGGATTTTAGATGCTGGGTTACTGCATCAGACCCAGAAATTTTTCTAATCCCTGAAGGAATCAAACCAACTTCTCAGAACTACTAAAACTACTCCGATAACACTGTCGGAACACTGTTCCCCACATAGGGGTCTCTAAGATGACCAAATAACCACATCCCATCCTCACATACTGATGTAGTTTGATAGCAAGGAACAGACACAGAAGAAAAACAAACAAACAAACAAAAACCCTGAAACATATGTCCCACCCACCTTCCTCTGTACCTGAAATTCCCCACTCTAAGTGGAGGTCCACATGGGCAGGCATCCCTCTCCATTATGTAAACTATAGTAAAAAGAAAATTAGGGCCAGAGTGATAGCCTCGCGGCTTAAGTCCTCGCCTTGCACACGCATGGATCCCATATGGGAGCCGGTTTGCATCCTGGCTGCTCCATTCCCCATCCAGCTCCCTGCTTGTGGCCTGGGAAAGCAGTCAAGGACGACCCAAAGCCTTGGGACCCTGCACCTGCATGGAAAACTGGAAGCAGCTCCTGGTTCCTGGTTTCGGATCGACTCAGCTCTGGCTGTTGTGGCCACTTGGGGAGTAAATTAGCGGACAGAAAGTCTTTCTCTCTGTCTCTGCTTCTGTCTGCATATCTGACTTCCAATAAAAATATTTTTTTTAAAAAAAAGGAAAATTATAAAGTAAAAAAAAAAAATTCTATCCTTAACTGGTAGAAATCCTTCCAAGCATACTAGTATGCTGAGTACACTAAACCCAGCAGTCTGTGTGAAGGACAAATGTCTCTTACTTTTTTCACTGAGTAATCAAGAGTATGCTGAAACGCCACAGTCATTGTGCAACGACCTTATTTGTGAAGGAGTTTAATGTAGGAATCCTGACATAGTTGTTTTTTCCCCCCAGAGGAGAGCGCGAATGCAGTCCCCCACTACCAAATTATGCCGTTGAGTTTCCCACATTTGGGCAAACTGCAAGGGTCAGCACACCTGGAGTGCAATGGGTGCGCCTCGCCCTGGGATCATGGCCTCGTGATCATGCCATCTTCCCTGCCAGGTAAGTATCCGATATAGTTTTGTAATGCACAACTACTGCTTCAGACCCAATCTGTATTCACTTTGGAGACCTTTGTTCCATTGGCCCCGGGGTCTCTGGAGAGGTTTCAGAATTTAGATGCTACACATTTGGGTCACCTCTCCCCTACTCCCGTGTAGACAGTAAGGGGGCTAAAAGTACCAGGGAGAGGCTTTGGGGAAAATAGAGTGGGTCTGTAAGTCAGGAGCGTATTCATAGTCATCACTCCGCTTTGGGACACAGAGAACAGAGTTGAGGGGAACGGAGAGTCTTCAGCTCAGCTCTTTGATGGAGATCTCCATTGTGCAGCGTTCCCCAGGGACGGCCTCTCTAATCTGCAGTTACATTAGCGTGATTGGGTGAAGACCAGAACGCTCTGATTTGGAGATCTGCACACAGCAGAGCATCAGAGAGAGGGGCAGTGGGAATAGAGATAGATATGCACCATCATTCTTTCAAGACGACTGGAGGCTCCCTAGTAAGAATGCCAGCTGGAGTCAGCCACGGAGCGTGGAGGGAGCCAAGCCTGATGGGCTGCAGCCAGAGTCAAGGTTAATTTTGACCACAAATGATTTGGATCCCATTGCGTGGTCTAAAGGCAATGGCACCAAGGGAAAATGGGTGAGAAGAGGAAGCAATTATTCCAAGCACTTGACAGTGTTTTGCCAACAGCAGTGGCTTCGCAGGCAATCTAGACAAGGGTCAGAAATCACATCTCTAAAAGTTGTGGGCAAAAACCACTGGAAACACACCTAGGGAGTCTCGGTCACGTTACAGGAAGTCTGGCTGTGGACTTGAGCTAAACAAAGCTGCACTTTAAGTCAGGGTTGAGCTGACCTGCGGCAGCAGTAACATGCAGGTGTGACTTCAATAATTGAGGCATTGCAATATTAGGTCATCTAACAAACATTTTCCAAACTGTGAATTGCAACTCATTAGTGAGACATGAAATCAGCTAAGTAGATCTCTAAAAGCATTTGCAAGATGAAGAATAGTGTAACGTTAAATAGTCTAGAAAGAAATCCTCGGTGTGTCTTCACAGTCATAAAGGTAATATAAGAACGTACAACATGTGTGAGGGAACACAAGTTTGACACTCAACACATACTTGTAACTGAGAGTCGGGCGTCAAAAGTGCTTAAAAAAACACAGCTTATGAATTTTGCCTCCCAGACAAATAACTTCATTTGAATAATATAATCTTCAGGACATTCGTCTCCAGCTTCGTTTTCCAGACTATACTAACAGGAAGCACGGCGATCCAGGTCATCGAGCGATATTAATTAAGCTCTCTCTTGATCTTAGGCTGTCACACTGTGCTTTTCTCTTCTCTTTTGGCTCATACTTTATTCAGGGAGGGGAGTCTCTGTCGTTTGCGGTCTTCATTTCCTCTTTTGTCATTGCTTGTGGTTTCCTTCTGGCACTTTCTTTACCTGCATTTCTGTAACGTTGGTCATTGGTTCCAGCATCCCCTCTTTCAATCTGATAGAGCAAAGTTTTGTCTGGCTTTTGTTAAATCATGCCATCTCTTTTCTCAAAATGCCCAGGGCATTTTGAGTAGTGTTTCTGCCTCTTCCTTTTCCCACGCAAGCAGGACTTGCTCTCTCCTGGAGTTCACTGAAGTCCCCAAACAAGAACAGAATTTCCAGAATCTACTGGGGAAGACTGATGATGAGGGAAGCAGAGTGCCTTCTCCCGGTGCGTTAGCAGGGAGCTGATGGGAAGCGGAGTGGCCAGGACACAAATCTGTGCTCATATGGAATGCAGCATCGACGCCACAACACCAGCCCCCGGTCCTGACCTTCTGTTCCTCTGCTTCATACACTGAAGAGTCAGGGAGTTGTATCAGAATAATTTTAGTTTTCTTCCATAGCCCAAAGTCTGAATTTGCTTTTAGTGGATTTGAAAAGTTCATTATCAGAGACAAGCCAAAACAAAACAAAACAAAACAAAACATAAAAACCCATAAAATGGAGAATTTTTGTTACAGATTATCTGTCTGACAAAGGAATATTGTCTGGAACATCTAAACAATAGTAAAAAGACAATCTAGTTTAAAAATGAGCAAAGGATCTGAACAGCTTTGTGAAGAGGTCAAATTATCAATAAGCATATGAAAATGTTCTCAGCATGACTAGCCATCAGGGAAATGCAAATGAAAGCCAGAATGCTGTAATACTCCACACCCACTAAAGAACGCCCATAACCAAAACGCAGAAAGTCACTGGAGTTGGCCAGAATGTGGGGATGTTGGAAGCCTCAGCAAACTCATAGGAAGGAAATGATATAGCCTCATGGCCCTTCCTCAAAAGATTATGTGCAGTGTTACCATATGACTCAGCAATCCCATTCTCAGAAATATACTAAAGAAAGATGAACACATATGTTCGCATACAAACTTGTACAAAAACGCTTGGAGCAGCCTGATCCATGGCAGCCCAAAGGTGGATTGATAGCAACTGATTAAGAGATAGATGAGGGCCCAGCACGATAGCATAGCAGTTAAAGTCCTCACCTTGCACGTGCTGGGATTCCATATGGTCACCGGTTCGTATCCCGGAAGCCCTGCTTCCCATTCAGCTCCCTGCCTGTGGCCTGGGAATGCAGCTGAGGACGGCCCAAAGCTTTGGGACCCTGCACCTGCGTGGGAGACCCGGAGGTAGTTCCTGGCTCCTGGCTTCAGACTGGCTCAGCTCCAGCTCCAGCTGTTGTGGCTGCTTGGGGAGTGAACCATCGGACGGAAGATCTTCCTGTTTGTCTCTCCTCCTCTCTGTATATCTGCCTTTCCAAAAATAAATAAATAAATTTTTTAAAAAAGGAGATACATGAAATCTACTATGTATATAAACAGAATATTATCCCACTGTGAGAAGTAAGCTCCTACTGAACATGCCACAGCAGATGAGAATCCTGCAAACTGAGAAGAGGCAAGCACCAGTGTGCATATATTGCATGATTCCACTTACTTGAAATGTCTAGCATAGGCAAATCTTCTGAGATAAAAAGTAGAAAAGCGGTTTCCCGGTGCTGAGGAGGGGCAGGAGCAGGGGGTTGGAAGGGAACAGTGGCTGCTACAGGGTTTCTCTGGGGGATGGACCAGCATCGACTTGGCTGTGAGGCGATAGTAGCACGTTAGTGATGCTGATGCTGATGCAAGTGCTCCCAAACAGCCAAGTCCAGATGATTGTAGCATCAGCTTGAGCCTTTCCTCCAGGTCTCCTAGGACCTCAGACACCATGGGTTGTCCTCAGTCAGGCCACTCCCACGTGCCTCGGGATAATCTGATGCTTCATTCCTGTAGTTACAGCACAGCTTCTGGTCTCCCACATCACAACACAGTTCTCTTTTCTTTTTTTTTTTTTCTTTCTTTCTTCCTTTCTTTCTTTCTTTCTTCCTTCCTTCCTTCCTTCTTTCTCTCTCTCTCTCTCCTTCTCCCTCCCTCCTTTCCTCCCTCCCTCCCTCCCTCCCTTCTTTCCTTTTCTTTCCAATATTTATTTATTTCCTTTATTTGGAAGGCAGAGTCATAGAGAGAGAGGGGTCTTCAATTCACTGGTTCACTCCCCAAACAGCTTTGATGACAGCGGTTGGATCAAGCTGAATTCAGGAGCCTGCATCCCTATCCAGGTCTTCCAAGTGGGTGTTAGGGCCCAAGTACTTAGACCAGCTTCTGCTGCTTTGAGAGGAGCTTTAACAAGAAGGTGGACAGGAAGTAGAGCAACCAGGACTGGAACTAACGCTGCATGGAATGTTGTCATTGCCAGCAGTGGCTTAACCTCCTACGCAACAACACTAGCTGTCTCAATGAAGTCTGAAACGATACAGTTTCATGTTCCATCCTGTGGAATTTCACACTCATTACGGACATCCAGAATCAAAAACACAGAAAATAACAAACACTAGCCAGAATTCGGGGCAACTGGAAGCCTCATACAAAGCCCAGGGAAGCACAGATGGCACAGCCTTATGGAAATCCATTGTCTGACCCTTCAAAAAGCTACATACACTGGGCCCATACCCCACAAAGACATGTTGGGAGTGGACCCTGGACCACCTGGCCCCCAAATTCATCCCACATTTCTGCGTGAGAGAATGAGCCCAGAGAGGAAGAGACGTGACCCAGGTCACAGGAGCAGCCGGTCACGAATGTCTCCATGTGCCAAGAGAGCCTCCTCCCCTATGTGGAATACCTTAGCTGCACTCTTCCAGGGTCTTCCCTCCCCCCAGAGATCTAAGTGGAACAGGCAGCCAGGCAGAGACTCCCCTGGGCCCTCCTGAGTGAGACATCCTGGGGATGGACTCCATCAAGTCACTTGCTGGTTGCTTTCTCTGTTTATTCACATCAGATGCATCACGACTGTGTTTCTGATTGATCAGGAATTCCTGAAGCTGGAAGGAGTCACTGAGCATACCCACAAGGCCTACAGGGAGGGGCCCTCTCACGCATGCTACACTTCCGAATTTTCCCAGGCAATAGGAGCCCAGAGTTAGCTGTTGGCAAGAAAAGTAATTCATATTACAGAATGCTGTGTGGGTATCTGGGGCTTACAAGTATTATTTTACATAATCTTCACCATAAGCTTATTGCTCTAATAATATTTTCATTATCGTCTGGACAAGGATTAAGGCTTAGAAGGCTTAGGGAGCCTGTCCAAGTTCACCTCAGAGGAGTGGCTTAAAGCTGGGACATAACATACAGACAGCAGGCAGAGAACGGGACCCTGTTCCAGCTCAGATGCAAGGGAACTTGAAAATGCACGTGGTGAAATGCATGACACTTTGAAGTTCGGGCAAAGATTTTGATAATGTGTATTTGCTGAGGACTTTTTGAATACTCAGTAGAATGGACTTCGACTTCGAACTTTTTTTCCATCAAAACAAACATCTTTTAAAACAGCAGACGTATTTTAAAGAATACTCATTTTCAGCAACTTCAGGAACAAATGTAAGGAAAGTACTCTCTGGAAACATGTTTAGATGGGGTTGCCTCCCC